CTCATGTGTATGGATTTGGGTTATGCCCATGACCTTGGAATCCTACATATAAATGTATGCTCCATAACCTAAAAAATGTGTGCTTCTATTCTTAGAGAAAGATGGACGATTTTGGTGCATGGAATTCTCTCTCAAAATATCATCCTTTATCTTAGGTGAGTTGTGATTCCATTTGAGGTGCAACACTTGGGACACTAGGTTCTTATAGGCCAAAGTCTTTCAGCAACATCAACAACACCAAGAGGTATGTCTAAAACTTGTTTTATTATACATATGTTATTAGCATGCTATTTATAGGCTTAATGCTTTGGAAACCTATTAGATGTATAATTAGAGAAAACATAGATCCAAGGCATCTAAGGTTGTATGTGCGCCATAGGATGTTGTAGTATACAAAACCCAACAACCTTGACCAAAGATGACCAAATTATGATTTTGAAAAGAACTGAGAATTCAAAAATTGATCTTCAAAACAATTACGCTGATATTGAAAATGATTCTGACAATATTAGTGAAATTGAAGAGGAGGAAGTTATTGATTGTTCTCAGTTTTCGATCATTTATGTCTCTTTAATGGCTAAAGTCAAAGAAAAATGTAATGATTCTGAGTTTAAAATTGACAATGACCAACCTTCAACTTCGAAAGTTGTTGATCATGACCATGTAACTGTCGAAAATAGTCAAATAGTGATGATGATAAAGAAGTGTCAACAGAGACAAATACTCCAAAAGTTTCGAAAGAAAACATTGTACCTCGCATAGTTGAAGATCAAGTGTATGAAGAGACAGAGGAATTCGAAAAAGTCATGAAAGAAAAAGGTTCTCACTATCTTGAACCTAATTTTGTGGTTTATCCAAACTTCAAGTGTTCGGATAATGTTGTTTTTCCAAAACAAGTTTTTGTTACAACGGGTAATGGAGAAAGTGTAAAACCCGAAGTAAACAAACTGGTTGAAGAGGACAATAGGAAAGCTTCAAAGGATGGGTTCTTCTTGAATCAAAGTACTGCTGAAAACAACCCGACCAAACATTCTTACACCTTTCAACGTCAAAAACCATGTCAAACATGGATCGTTAAAACTGACAAATCTCAAGCTGAAAAACAAACAAATGTCAAAGTTATTGAAAAAATCAAAACATGTTTGGGTTGAAAATCTGAAAAATCAAAAGAAGTTTCAACAAAGGATGAAGTTATTACTCAAAATGTCAAAATCAATTCACAAGCTTTTAAAGATCAAGTTGACAAGATTTCGAAAGAAAACAAAATTTTAAAGAGAAAAGCACGAAAGAAATTTTTTTGTCAAAACATTGAGTCACGAAAGAAACAAAATGTTTTACTTAATAAATCTTTTGAAAAGAAAATGTCTAACTGTGTTCATACTTCTTTTCAAAAGAACCAGTAAATAAGCCAAATTCTACTCAAACTTCAAAGATTTCGTCTCCTCAAAAATCTCAAAATAATTCTTTTATAAACAAGGAGCACATTTCGAAATCAACTTCAAATTCTAATGTTCAAACATCTTATAATGTGAATTATGTGAACAATAAACAATCAATGAGTTTTCATAAGAGTTCTTCAAATCAAAGGTTTTTAACCAATAATTTTCAACGAAGTGATTTTCAATCAAATGATCATAATAATTATCATCGTGTTTCACATCCAAATCAATTCATGAACTCTCGAAAGGTTTTTCAAAGAAATAATATTGGTTACCAAAAGCGTTTTCAAAATCGTTATACTCCTTTGTTAGATAAACCAATGGCAGTTGGAACGAAACTGACTCCTTTGTTAGATAAACCAGCTGTTGATCTTACATTTTACTGAAGCATGATAGGTTTGTCACTTTATCTCACAGCAAGTCGACCTGATATCATGTTTTTTGTGTGCAATTGTGACACGTACCAATCAAATCCCAGGGAACCACATCTCACTACAGTCAAGATTATTTTTTGTTATCTCAAAGGAACAACTTCATTAAGATTGTGGTATCCTTCAAAAACCTGGTTCTTTATTCAAGCATTTTCAGATGCTGATTTGGGAGGTTGTAATCTTGATCTTAAAAGTACAAGTGGCAGATGCCAATTGTTAGATGGAAAATTGGTGAGCTGGAAATCGAAAAAGCAAACTTGTGTTTTGATTTCAATAACAAAAGCAGAGTATGTTGCTGTTGTAGCTTGTACATCATAAATCATATGGATACAAAGTCCATTACGAGACTATGCAATCAATGTGAACAAAATTTCATTGTATTGTGATTCTCAAAGTACAATACACATTTACCGTAATCCTGTATGACATTCGAAAACTAAACAGATAGCTCTTCGTTATCATTTTATAAAGGATCCCATTGAAGATTGAAACATAGAAGTATATTTTGTAAAGACAACTGACCAGCTTGCTAATATCTTTACAAAATATTTAGATGAGAAATCTTTTGTAAGGATCATGCATGGCTTAGGAATCCTGGACTACCTTCGTTAGAATGACAAGATAAAAGTATCGAAAAAATGTCGATTCAGTGGTTACTGTTCATGATTCAGCGGTGACTGTTCATAGTCAGTGTTTCGCCATGCTTCGTTTTTGTAAATTGGGCACATTGGTTTGACAAAAATCTTCGTTAGTTTAGTCATTTTTTTAAAGTTTTCGTAAGTTTTTCCTTTCAATTCCAATATCAAAAATACCAAAAAGATTTTTCGTTAATTTTGTATTTTTCTTATTAGATCTAAAACACCGAAAATATTTTCATTTTTGTCTTTTGTTGTTAAAAATTCAAAAATACCAAAAAGATTTTTCGTTATTTTTGTTATTTTCATTCAAAAGTTCAAAAATCCAAAAATATTTTCTCTGTCTTCTTTTTGTTTTTGTTTTCATGTGTAGGTATTCACAAAGATTTTTGGTGGTCGATGCTTGCTGCTTCAGGGAAAGGTAAACTTTCAAAACTATGTCCTAGTTAGAATGTCCCTAGAAGCATGTTGACCCAAGCCTTCAAGACTTAATGGGTTACGAAGCCTTAATGAATTTCTAATTATGAGGATTCTTCCCAATTAGGCTATATTCTCATTAATCACTGAGCCACCTTACTCTTCTCATATGAGTTAAGAGTTTACTGCTTGGTCCAAAAATAGCAGAGGTACTTTTGTTTCTTAAACCAAATCTTTTTCATCCTAACGTTCTTACATATTCACACACAATGACATATGTCCAAGAGATTTCTGGTACCAACCAATCAGGATCTAGACATATCAAAAATCTGTGTTTATGGTCTAACATCATGAGACTATGGTGGAAGTGAAACCCAAACTTTCGAAACATAAGGAATTAATGGGGAATTTTGTTCCAGATTTTAACGAAACTTTTGTTTTGGTACCTATTTTTGATACTAAAAACATATTCTTTCTTTTGTTGTAATCTTGATCAAATTTTCGAAACCCACAACATTTGTTACCCAGTAAGATTTAGAAATACTTTTAGTTAAATAATATGTTTTTCGATTGAGTATCATTATTAACCTTCGTTACTTGCAAAATTTTTCCAAAGCTTAGTTATCCCTGACTACACTGGTCAAACAGGTAATTTCGTTTACAACTTGTTACTCTTATGTTTAGATGTGCTTTGTAATGGAATTTTAAGCCACCTTTGAAACCCTGATAAAAGAAGCCCTTCGATACTTCTCAATAATTATTTAATTGTAATTCACATGATTTCGCTTTACAACCTAAAAGTGAAAGAGCCCAACCTCCATACCAAAGGTTACTCACGGTTCTCATTCTCTTGGGGCAAGTTATTAGTCTATGTGATGTGATGTTTGGTGATCCAACCCGGGGTTCAAGGACAAAGTGATGATATAAAGTACACGCATGCCTATTTTTTTGGCAACTCATGCAATTTTCTAGGAGACACATCAGCCACATTCAATACGGAAACCGCTTCAAATTCAAACTTTTATTCCACTATAAAAAGAGTTTCAGAGGATCAATTCCAATTTTACGCATACTTAAAATTCACAAGCATTTGATTTTTTTATTCTCTCTGATTTCTTCAAGAACTTCAAAACCCTAACAATGGTGGCCAATCAATCTCAAACCACTGAAGATATTACTTCTCATCCGATGAAGATACAAAGCACCAATTATCAAGTTCTTGGTGATATTGATGCTTATCCAGAGGGGTTATGAATGCTCATTATTGCTCTTCAGCATTCGGTGTTATCAACCGCTATGTTCCGATCGTTTACAGTTCCTCTTACCTGATTGTCACTTGTTGGTTCAACTGTGACTTATAGCAAGACGATGCAAATTTTAACTTTTTAACTGACGAATGACAAGAAATTCAGGTTATCCAAGAAACTTTTTGCTCAAATTCTAAATATCCCCAATGTTGAACCTTTTTACAAGGTTAACAATGCCCAAATCATTAACATGTTTAATGAGATGGGTCATCAACCTATTATTACCAAGATTAGTGATTTCAAGAAATCCGGTTTACCGTGTCTTTCGAATTTTATGTTTGGAATATATCTTCGTTGTTTAACCGGGAGAATAGTTGGGTTAGTCAAGGTCCGATTGGAAGTCTATACTATGGTTTCTGTAATCTACTACGTTTTGAAAGTGGACTACGCAACTAAGTTATGGAAGGAATTTCTCAATGTATTGAGAACATGAATGTTGTAGATGGGATTTTGTGTGCACAATAATGAGATTGATCTTGGAGTTTTTTTACACGATGAAAAGGATTTAGGTTTCTGACACTGATGAATTGGTTGAGTTTTCTACCTATAATTATCCAAAGACAGTGGAAGACTATGCATAAATTTTTCCAAATATTTGTAGAATTCCTGATGCAATGCTTTGAAAAATCGATCCTGTAAATCATGTGTTGGTACACTACTTAATCCTGATGTTGAAACTGAAAAATGTTAGATACAACAACTGAAGGTCCTTCAAAGAAAAAAAGAGGTTCAAAGAAGGAAGTTGAGCCAAGCCCTTCGAAAGTTGTTTAAATGGAAAAAGAAGTTAAATCTCCAACGAAAGTCACTGTTAAAGTAAAGGCTTTGAAGAAAAGTTCAAAGCCTATTGTTACTAAAGATGTTGATCCTTTGAAGGATGTGCTACCTTCGAAGACTGGTGTTTTGAAAAGGCTCAAGAAAATGGCTCATCGTTCTCGCCATTCACCTGAAAGATCATCCAATTTTTCTCCTTCATACATTCGTAAGCCACAACTTAATTGTAAAGGTGTGATGATTCGCAAAATTCCTACACCAGTGTCTCTAGCTTCAAAGAAAAGACAAGATGAATACATGGCCAAGCATATTTCGAAGAAACAAAAGAGGCCAAAGAAACAAAGAAAGTTAGTTATACATGAAGCTTTGACGGATGATGAAGTGGTTCCTGACACACCACCTACAAATACAATTATGGGCTATTCTTCACCTGTAAGGGATTCTCCAGTCAAGTCGAATTTAGTGGTGACTAGAAAACTTGATGGCAATGTGAACACTTATCCAGTAGAGGCAACCATCAATCACGGAGAACAACCAAAAATTTCGACTCCTAAGAAGACAACGGTTTTACCAACAAAGGTTTTGTATACTGAGTCATTTAATGAGGGGGTTCGAACCTCAGGCATCACTGTAAACGTATCTGATATGGGTGCAAATGTCAACAAGGGTAATGGAGTTTCGTTATGAAGCCCAAGGTAACCCTTCTATTGTTTTCTCATCTACTTTCGATACATCATTTCTTGATACTATAGTTTTGTTACCACCATTTATAGTACCCACTACGTCCCATATTCCTTCTGCCACTTATTCTCCTACATTTGATATTGTCTTGCAACAACCTTTGATCACTTTATTCCCATTCCAATCCACCGATACACCACCAGTTCAAGACACAAAAACTGATGAAGAAGAGTTTCAGGGTTCCTTTGCAGAAATTGAGTTTGATTCTGACAAAGAAAAGATCCCAGATCACATGATCATGTCTGGAAAGCAATTTAAGATCTTGAATAGGAAACTTAATTATCTTTTACAGTTTCAAGCAAATGCAGTCAATAATCATTCTATCTCAGGAATTGAAGTGGATGTGATGCTTAATGCTCAGGAGCATTGTATTCAAAGTAAAATTGATAGTGTGAATAGAGATCTTGAATCCAGGAACAAAGTACATTCTCATTCTTTTAATGATGCACTAAAAGAATTGAAGGTAGTTGCAAAAGAGAGACATGTTCTTTATGTTTAGGAAGTAAAGACTGTTCGTGAGAATGTTAATCTTAAGATTCAAGAACTTCATGATGATATGGCGAAGGAATTTGCTGAATTAGGTCACAATTGTTCTAATCTTCACAACAAGGTGGACATCCTTGCTGCTGCAATCACGAAAGTAATGGAATGGCATACCACGCTTCCTTCGCAAGTTGATAAGCTTGGTTAGTCTTGGCCATGAGATCTTTCAGCTCACTTAATTCGAAAGTTAGATTCAACAATTCACTCTAAATTGGCTTCACTTGCGAAGTTTGCAAACTTTATGCCAATGAATGCCCCACCTGCTAACATATGGGTGCAAGGGGGAGAAAATGGGGGGTGTTGGCACTGGTACGAAATTGCATACTGGAGGAAGTGGTTCTCGAAAGGTGGAAGGTGATGCCAAGGTGGTTCGAAGAGTATTAACCACTCAAATTCCATCATCTCTACCAACAACAACACTTGTTTCGTCATCAACCACAACAAAAACTAGACCAATAACAAAGGGTATAGTTATTTGGTTAACTGGTGGAGAATCAGGATCTTTAAAGCCCAAGCCAAGTAAAGTTGATAAAGGCAAAGGGAAAGGTGTCATTATTGAACCTTTGAAAGAAGAGATCAAAGTTTCTCAAGAAGCAGAGTTAGAAAAACAAAGGCATGTACAAAGCATTCTGAGAAAACATGCAAATGATCCTCCTGGTCTGAACAAAGGTGATCTAACGAATTTATATCACTATGAATATATTGAAGCTTTGACAGTGACAGGGGCTATACATAAGTTTGATAAGGTTCCTAAAAGAAGTTTCGACACTGTAAACTCAAATCTAAATCAACTTGATTTTCCAGTGAATAGAATGATGTTCCTGGACAAGCAGATCGAACTTGTTGACAGGTACAAGGATAAAACTGAATTTAAACGATTAAAGTTTCACTTTCATGCTATACTTGGGAAAAGGGAGGAGGATATATGGTTATTGGTAAAAATAATTCGAGTTCTTTGCATATCCAAAGATGTTTTATTCAAGGGTATGTTACAGAATTATCGCTATTATGCAGTCCGAGCAAACAATATGCAATTCGATTTCTCAATTGCAGACTTCTCTATTATGAATCTACATGACTTGATAGTGGTGGCTATGATCATAAAGAATGTTGATGTTTTAAAGCTCCAAGTTACAAGCAAAGAAGATTTTTTGATTGGTTTTGCTCATTTGAATACCTTCATTAATGGATATTATGGAGCACTAGCCTTAACAGATATTGAATTGGCCAAGTCTTTGGATAAAGAAGTATCTATTCCTCAAACTGTTCATGTGAAAAAGAAAATTTTAAACAAGTTCGAAGATGGGGAAATCTGCTTGAAGCCTCTGGGAATTGTTTTCTTTGGAAAGAATACAAAAGGAAATAATTCGAAGTTTATGTTCCCTATGTGTGATGTTGAAAGGTTTACATCACCTCATTACACAAATCTTCTGGTTCAAATGAATAGTTGTACCAAAAGCAATGAGAAAGAAAAAGTTGAAATTCGAAAGATTGTTAACTAGTATTCTGAGATCATAAGAGTTATTCATCAGACTGTGAATATATTAATGTCTTGATTCATCACTGCTCACAAAAGGGGAGAATGTAGAGGTCAAATTTAGTTTTGAGGTGTCAAATATTATTGATAGCTTCGTTAGTTTGTAATCTTATTACAAGGGAATCTTAATGTATGCAGTCTAGTGTTTTAGTCCCTTGTATTTTTTGTTCGCTTTCATCTTTGCTCTAAATAGGGAAGTGTACTACAGTAGATAAGAACTTTTCGCCTTTTTGCTAATGCGTGTAACCTTGTCTAAACACTTTGTACTGATTAAAAGCTAATTGGAGCCAAACAAATTATAATTACTTATTGTTTTCATCAATCATAATTTGCTCTGATCTTGTTATTCAATGTCGATTTTATTGCAACTACATTATGGCCATGGGAGTCCCATGCAACTTGTGAATCACTTTTTAGGGTTTTTTAAGCTAAATAACCCATGCATAGACGTAAAGTTATAAACTTTATGTGATATATAAACCCTACGGAACCAGATTTATGGTTTGAAAACCTAGAAGCCGACTGGAAACGACTGATTGGATTTAGACTATGGGGTACTCAACGAGTTGTTCATACAACTCGGCGAGTTGGGTCGTGGTCCCCCAACCTTTTCTGTTACTGAGCAAACTCATTGAGTCTTGAAGATGACTCAGCGAGTTGGCCATGGTTTGGGTTATGAAGATTGAGGAACTCGACGAGTTCAAGGAGGGACCCGGCGACTCGGCGAGTTATGAGTAAAAGGTCCCGACTATGCTATGAGGATAAACTCGACGAGTTCATGAAAGAACTCGACGAATAGGATCGGGTTTTCCAAATCTTTATGAATCATGGAATTCGATGAGTTCATGAAAGGACTCAACGAGTAGGATCGAGATTTTGGAGTTTTATGGATTATGGGACTTGCTGAGTTGATGGACCAACTCGGCAAGTTGAGTCAACCAGGATGTTGACTTTGACTTTGAACATTGACCAGAGTTGACACTTAAAGGGGTTATGAGTATGAAAGGGTAATTAAAGGAGATTGTTATGTGTAGGAGTTTGAGAGGAGTTGATCCCAGAGTCGAGGACATTGAGGTGAGTTACCTTCCAGTAGAAGTGGGTCAAAGGCACCAATGTCGGCCCACTGGTAGTTGGTTATAGTATAGATGATTTTCTTTGTGATAATTGTCTGGTATGCCATTATCTGCTATGCTCTTTGTGCTACTATGTTATGATATTATGTGATAGTGGTAGGAAGGGGACTAGTCCCTGGACTCGGTTGAAATATACCGACACGGTAGGTCGGGCACCCAGATATGCCTGACAGTATGATATGCTATGTTTTTATCTGGTAGTGATAGGGGTGAAATAGTCTCTGTAGCTGGTTGAAATAAATCGGAGGGTAGGTCGCCCACCCCGGTATGCCTGACAATTGTAGGTTGAGCACCTAAATATGCTCAACACGGTAGGCTGGGCACCCAGATATGCTGGTAGTATGTTATTGTATGGTATGTGGTATGGTAGGGGAACTAACTAAGCTTTGTGTTTACGGTTTTCATTTTTTGTTTCAGATCCTTCTTCTTCGAAGGGAAATGAGTCGGTACGGTAGCAGCGCATAACACACACGATTTTATGCATATGAGATTCTTGGGATTTGTACTCTGATGTTGTTACTATTTTATGACATGCCGTTGAGACATATGGTCTATGGTTTTTATGAAATGAAATAACCTGATGGTGTTTTCTTTAACTTGTTCTATGAATTGTTATATCAAAAATGAAATTTTTGGTCTTAAAATTTGTGATGTTACAATTGTTGACTAAGTTATAAGATAAATTGCCTCAACGAGCATCCATAAAAATAAACAAGCGGTTGAGTTGTGTTCAAGTTTATAGAAAGAATGTTATTTTCATGACATATAAAAAAAATTCTTACATGTCCACGAGTTTGAGTAGGTAATAGGTGTCGACATGATTTTGTACAGGCTTCATCAAAGAATCTAAAATGTATACGACACGATCTAAAGGACAAAACACTGGGCAATATAACTTTACAACTAAAAGAGCCGATTGTATCATTAGAAACCGGGTTGTTTAGTTCACTCATATATACCGGTTCCTTTCAGTAAACTGGGTCATATAATTGTCCCCTTTATAAATCATGGTTTTTCCATAATATGCCTCATTTTTTCATAAACCAGGTCTTATATGGAGAGTTCTATATGATGTTTTGTAGTAGTGTGGTACGTTGTATTTACCACAACACACCACGTCCCCTGAGAGGGTTTCAGCTTTAAATTCATGATTTGACTACTTGAGTAGTCGTTTAAATAACAATTTTTGTAAAAAAAAATTATTATGAACTTAAACTATAAATTTACCACTTTCTTACACTATTTTACTACCATTATTTTCTTCTTTTTTTACACATACATGCATACATTTTTCCAACATACTCTCCATGGAACAAAATCAAAACATTACACCAAAATATCGAATGATGAATATTGATGGACCATTTTCTTTCAAAAATGACACAACATCAATTTTCGAGCTTAGATTCACCACAAGGTGATTTCATGAACTTCCTCTAAAGCTACCCTATCCCGTGACAACCAATTATCCAACATCCTTTTCCACAACAATTTTTTTTCCAGCAACCCATTTTTGTATAGCAACAACTGTTCGTGCAACCATAATTTTCTCAACCACAACTTTCACGACCATAACTTTTGTATTCATAACCGTCGTAGCTACAACTGTGACATCCCCATTCTCACTGCCAGAAAAGACCGATTTTGTTTATGCTTTATAAAAATCATAGTACCTCTTTTAATAAAAATGTTGTCGAATTTGTTCCCAGTAAAACATGATAAATACGTTATCAAAGCATTTCCGAAGAAAAAGTATTTTTAATTCATTTTAAAACATTTGGGATGTCATCGTCAATACATAAACATAAGCATAAACAGAACTTACATTTATTTACACTAGTGATCTACATCTCTTTAATCTCTCAGTGTAATGTGACTTTATCTCAACACCTATAATATAAATAAACTGAATGGGTCAGGTTGGGAAACCTGGTGAGTACATAGGGTTTTCAATCCACAATAATATAATTATTATGTTTAAACAATCAAACAATCGACCCAAGTACCCATCCCCATTATCTTCTTTACTCTTAAGAATCTATCCTAAGAGTCATCTATCCCGCATTCGTTCATTCTGAAGTCCTTTGCTTCCAGAGTTATAGGACTAACACTAAATCCATAGCTGCCAATGCTCGTTCATAAAGCACTAATTCCACAGTTGTTGGGTACTAAATCCATAGCTACCAGTGTTTATCTAATATGTACTAAGTCCATAGCTACCAATTCCTATTAGGTACTAAGTCTATAGCTACCAGTGTTTGTCTAATAGGCACTAAGTCCATAGTTGCCGATGTTATTTGTTAGGCACTAAGTCTATAGCTGCCAATGTTTACTCCCATCATCTTTTATCTCTCATCATTCATCTACCCATCTCATACCCAACATACTTGTATATTTAAAATATGTATATAGTTCAAATCATCTAAAACATGTATAAAAAAACGTTCATCCAGCATAGACAACAAGTATTCCGATAAT